TAAACGCCGCCCTGAGGGTTAATACTTACCCGAAGAAGAAGAAGAAGGAGAAGAAGAAAAAGAAAAAAAGAAGAAGAAAGAGGGAAGGAGAAGGCAACTAACTCAGTTTATTTTTCACTTGAGGATTAGAGCCAGGGCACTCTTCTTCTCTCCCATGCAGGAGGAGGAGGAGGAGGAGGAGGAGGAGGAGGAGGAGAATGTATACCAGAGTGGTCTCGTGTGTCATCATATGTATACAGGACTCGGTCTAGTTACCACAACCGAAACTGGACGGTGGGTGGAAATATTTTATCTAGCAAACAGGATTGGACGCAACTCGGTCCAGTGATTTCCCGAGTCATGCAAGTTCGGTGAAAAAGGTCCCGAACCGACTACCAACGGCCAGGCCGAAGTCGGCCAAGTCATAATTATAAAGAGGAGGGACGACAGAGCATGCGGATACAGTCTGTTTCGGGCATGCTCTGCCTTCATTCAGCCAATCGGGGGTTTGTCGAATGGGTATTGCATGGTTATTCTGCAGTAGTTGACTGTCTTCTACCTAAATGTTCATTGAAATTTCGGGTTTGACTTATGACTTCTTTTTTCATGTTATTGACCGCAGTTATTCTGCCCACTATCCCAGTGCAAATTGGGCATGTTTGAATTCAGATGTGCGTTCTATTTGCCACGAGTCTTTGTCCTCTCTTTCACACCCAATCTAATGCATAGTCGGTTCCGACTTTCATGAGTATTCGCACGAACGCCTGATTTTATATGCAGCCTTATCGTCAACTTTATTTCGGAGTTCCACGAAACTGTGCCATCTGCTGTTAGACGTAACTTTTAACTTCCTCGCCCTTTCTTCTCACTTCGACTGAAGTCATCTGGGCGGGTGTGTGTCCGCGTTTGGTCACCGATAAGGTCGGAACGATTCCTTCTGCTTGCTCCCCCTTCCGCACTTGACAGGTACTCCTCCACCCGCTCGACGGAATTCAGTCTCCTCCACTTCCTTTAGCCTGTATATG